ACCGGTACCAGAGGGTCCAACGAGCTACGGGACTGGAGGGTCCCGCTGAGACGCATTGACCAGAGGGTCATACTGAGTTATAGCCTCGAGTGGCTTATGTGTTGTATGTGGTATTTCGGGTTACTCACTAAGCAATTATGCTTACCGTGTCATATGATATGTGTTTCAGGTACTTCCGAGGATCGTGGGAATGCGCCGGAGTTATTTGTACACAATGGCAGAAGATTATGTTTTGAGATTCTGGGATATTTTTTATTGTGATGACATTTGATAACATGAGATTTTGAGAATATTATATGAGTTTTATGGTGTTGAAAAATATATAATCGTTTTAAAATTTTCCACCATTACATCCCTATCTAAGTTTTCTTATAATTACGGTTATCATTCTAGTACTGGAGCACTGACTTTCGAGCTTCTCTGTGGGAGGAAGTATTGCACACCAGTATGATAAGGAGAGGTCGACCATAGTGTTATAGGGAAGGTTGAGGTAGTTCTCGAGACGAAAGAGCTCATCCAGCGAATCAGGAAGAGATTGCAGATAGCCTAGAGCTAACAGAAGAGTTATACCAACAGACGATGATCTAAGTTAGAGTTCCAAGATAGGGATATGGTTTTACTGAAGGTATCAACTTGGATGGGTGTTATATGCTTCAAGAAGAGGGGCAAGTTGGATACCCGTTTTATTGGATCGTTCCGAGTAGTGGCCAGGGTAGGCAAGGTAGCTTATCGATTGGATCTGCTTAAGGTGGTTAGGTAGATTCACAACACTTTCCATGTTTCTTAGCTTCGGAAATGTATGGTTGACAATTTGGTGGGGGTTCCTTTTGATGAAATTCAGGTCTATGAGTGTCTGAATTATGTGGAGATATCGGTAGAGATTATAGATAGGAAGACGAAGGCCTTACGCAACAAGGTGGTACCTTTGGTCAAGGTCCAGCGGTAACATTGGAAGGTTCCGAGTGGACTTGGGAACCCAAGATGCACAAGCATTACCCATAATTATTCATAGCATCAGACTTTGAGGAAGAAGTCTGATTCAAGTGGGGGAGAATTATAACACTCGATGCTTGTTTGTAAATTCCTTTCCTTATTTCCTAAGAAGTAAAGTTGGGTGTGTATCTACGTAGGGCGTAGATAGTCTTCCACGCGCTACATAGAAGGATAACTTGGAGTGCGGTTTTAATGACCTACGATGAGCGTAGGTCTGTATACACAGTGCGTACTATCCCAGAGCCCAAAGCGTAATTTCGTGTTTTTGAGCCCTATTTAAGGGCTCTTACTCCCTTGAGGCCTTTTATTATCAGCCTTCACTCCCTTTAAAGCAGCTACCTCAAACCCTAATCTCCATTTGTCAATTTTGAGCTTTTTGAGTGTTTTTTGTTCATCTTTGAAGGAAGATTCCATTGGAGAGCACTTAGGAAGCTTCAAGCCTTGTGGATCTGGAACTTGCATCTCATCCACATTCTCCAGGAGGTATAAAGTTCAAAACTCGATGAATGGTTTGTTAGATCTTGTTAGTCTTTAGGTTTATGTCCTTTTTGGTCCCATATTCTTGGTCTAATTGGGTATGAGCTACTCCAAGTCTTATGAGTAGCCTTTTCAGATGTTTTTGTGTGCATGGAATCATAAAAATGCAATCATGGTCCCTTCCTCCCATCTATGCATGAGATATGGAGATTGAGATTGTGTAATAAGTTGGGTTTTTGGATTTGAACTGTCTTTAGCCATGCAAAGGCATAAAGTTATAGACTTTATGGTTTAGAATGCTCATTAAAGTTAAATATGTGTATTATGTGAAAGGTCTTATGGAAATAAGTGCTTAATGTGAGTTTTGGAATCTAAGGCAATTACACTATGTGTAATCTAGGCTACACCCAACGTAGTGTAGTGGAGTCTCGTTTTCAGAATAAGACTCTACGTCATGCGTAGAGTTAGGAGTACGTAGGGTGTGGGTTAAAAAAAGTCTAACTCTTGACATTTTGATACGTTGATTATTGGTTAGTTGTTAGGGTAGGTCTCAGTAAGGGGAAATGGTTCGAGGTTTGAGGTATTTTGCACTTAGTGGAGTTTGTCTTATTAAAAGCACTTGTTGGTTTGAGGTTTTACGTTGGTTTTGATTTAAGGGCTTTTGGTGAATTGGTACTGTGAGGAGTTCGTGTTTTCTCTGACAGTGGATTGAGGTAAGTTCTTCTTCACTGTACTCAGGGGTCGAAGGCACCAATGTCTGCCGTCTGGACTTTGTATCTATCTTGGTACATAGAATGTGGTATGTTGTAGAGATTAGATAGTTGGTAAATTTGTATGATTACTTGTTTTGCTGGTTATTATTTGTTATATCATTATGTGTATATGTCGAAATATTGTGATGGGTTGGGTTGAGGCGGTCCTACTTTGTGTTGAACGCCAAGATACTCAGGGTGGTCCGGATAGTCTGTAGGCGCTGTGAGGCATTCCGATCAGGTAGTAGGCCCTTAGAACAGTTCAAATATGTTGTAGGCCTTGCGAGGCGGTTCAATCTGGCTGAAGACTCGTATATGCATGTCGTTATCTATTTCATTATGTGTGGTATTTTGGGGGAAAGTCACTAAGTTTTGATTTGTAGTTTGATTTCATGGTTTCAGGTACATCAGATGATCAGGACAAGACGAAGGCGTAACCGTGCACATCATCATTGGATATTTTGTTGATTGAGGATTTTGGAATACTCTGATTTGACTATGTTCATGAAAACAATGTTTTGTATGGTTTGTGGATTATTAAATGGTTTTAAAAACGAAAATGTTTACTATGATTTTTGTGATATTACAATACTTTACTTTCATTCTTTTTGTCATGACGATTATGGTTGTATTGAAACCTCACACACGTTGTTCAAATGAGCTCTCGATGTCTATCATATATGTTAGAAGTCCAAAAATACAAAATCAAATATTAGGAAGAAAAAGAAATATTTTTTTATGACATGTAATACAAGATTAATACAACCATGTTTCCGCAAAACAAATACATACTTTCTTTCAAAAGCCTAAAGAAAAAAATTGCCTATCATTTTGATCATCTATACTATGGGGTTATAACGCATCTCTTCTTTTATGTACTTGGTGCCGAAGAAATGAAAAACCATAATTGAGATCTCATGTTAAAACCTAAAAATCATCTTCCTTGTGCTTTGTCATCATAATATGCAACTCATGTTAGCCAAAAACAAAAAAGGATCAGTAAAGACCTTCATAGATGACATTTACCCATTTACTCTTGATTCTAAAAATATGGTTTAAATATGTATAGTGTATGTGTATGTACGTGTGTACACCTACACGTACATACGTGTGTATAGTTAAAATATATTTTACAAATTTAGTTTGTGAGAATGGTCGACTCGGCTAATATATACTAACTCATTTCAAAAGCAATTTCTTGATGCGGTGTTAGATAACTTGTGGTCCACTTGAAAGTATCGGAACAAATTGTCTTTCAAGAAAAATGCCTCGAGCGAGTAAAGACATTCTTATAGATGGTGTTGTGTTGTTTCCGTTTTTACAGATTCTAGATAGATGTAAAAGGATTTCACTAAATCGGTTTCTTTAGGTATCGAGTCTTATTTGGGCTATCTCCGAACGTTTCATCATTTGTTCTTTTTGCTAGATCATTGCTATTATTTGTGGACCAGTATTCAAAAGAATAAATTTACAAGTTTCTTTTGTTTTGATATATAATATTTTTAACATGTCGAAATATTGATTAAGGTTCATGTTTTTTCTAACCACAAATTGAATCAAATGTTATCAATCGAATATACGTGTTTGATCAAAGTTGGTATATGATTCCATTTATGATTTCGATAACGAACTGGAACAAGATAATATATAATTAGTGTACTTGTATATGCCTGTTTGTATGAACAAAAAAGTGGCAAGACTATAAAAGTCTAATAGTGGCGTTTGATGTTGAGTTTGAAAATCACTTTCATTTCATGACTATAACGACATTGCGATTTATCTTCACATATTGATCGTGGGACCAATTGATGAAAGCTCCAAGGGATTACGCATTAAAATTGTTCTTTTTGCCTTTTAGTTTCTAGTTAAACCATGATATGATAATGTGGAAAAGTTAAACAAGAACGAACAAATGAATGGTTAACAAGTACGATTGTATCCCCTCTCCATCTACTACATCTTTAATAGTTGCTACATGTTTTTAAAAAAAAATTAGAATAAAATTTTAAATATATATATAATTCTCAACCCCCAAAATATAAACTATAACCTAAGGTTGTAAATTTCTCCCCACTTTCATAGATTTTTAGTTAGGTATTTTTTGAAAACTATTAAACCGATCAAAGCTAAAATCTAACGAGTCGAACTAAACCAGATCAATAGTGACTAGTTTGGATCAATCCAGTTGAGTTCGGATCAAAACACGTGTTTTGTTTTAGTTAAATTTATTTGCAATTTAGTTTTCAAAAAAAAAAATTAAAAATTGTAAGCAAAACTTTGTGTGTTGTTCCATTGGGCATTAAGTTATGAGTGAAATGAATGTGGATGTGAAAGGTACAAATACGATCGATACTGAACGCCATGCATATATCATCATCTTCACCAAATTAGCAAAACTTTGAGGTGATTGCAGTGAAATTAATGTCGCTGTTCTGTGTTGAAGTGAGAGAGATCTAGAGAGAGAAGATAAAAGCTAAAAATGGAGCCTAACGAAATTAAGGAGAAGGTGACAGAAGATAGCTCTGCATGTCTAACACGTCTTCCTGATTCTTCTTCTGGTATCGTCATCACCTCTCTCTTTCTCTCTCCGCATTAAATTTCTTTTGTTTTTAATGGATTCGTGATGTCTGCGTGTGTAATGTGATATGAGTTTGTTGAATTTTGAAGAAATCAATTGAAAACGATGTGACGAGATGAAGATGAAGATGAGAATGATTTACATGTTTGGATCGATGTCGAATTGTTAGAATCCAAGTGGAAATTAAAGGATATTTAACATTAAGATGGATCTGAGAGTGAGAAAGAGTTAGAGATTATGATCACAAGGATTTAAATTAAAACAAAATTAATTACTAGCTAAAGAAGACTCAGACCGATCGAAATTCCTACAGAAGTTGAGAATTAAAAGACCGATGGAATGAATTTCTGTTCCTACGAAAAATTAGGGTTTCTTACCAATTGTGTGCTTGTTATTATGCATCCAGACCTTGAGAACATGGCGTTTGACGCCGGTCTCCGCGCAGAAATGTTGTACGGCGGCCTCGTCTTGTTTCTGGATCCGCCACCCTAACGTCTCGGAGAACGCCAGCATCCGGTCCTTCTGATCCTGAGTGAATTTTGTTCGGAAACGCTTTCTTGAACCGCTTCCACCGCCGACACCGCCACCGAGTCCGCCTCCACCTCCGCCTCCGCTTGAGCTAGGATTTGAGATCTCTTCCAGATCCTCTCGGGATGTAGACGGTAGAGCTAGCGGACGCTGGTGGTGAGAAGACGGAGCCGGCGTCATATGCAAGTATCCGGTCGGTCGGTGATGAGGATGGTAGTATGGCGGTGGTGTCATGTACTGATGCTGTAACGCAGCCTGGTGCTGCTGCTGCAGCTGCTGATGTTGTCGTTGTTGACCTTCGATCTCCTTACGATGGAAGTTCCGATGACAATTGCAGGCGGCACATTTAAGTGCATCCAAAGTACCTTCATCTCCGGCAGCCATAAACTCTCCACAACCATCCACCGCGTGTCCGCCAATGCCTACAGCGTGGTTCTTTAAACACTCCCGATACCGGAACCCACCACCACCGCCTCCGCTTTTCCTCACTTCCCTCCCCCTACCTGAATTCCCAACCCCATCGTAATTACCCGGCGGAAGCTGAATTCCGACCTCCTCTTCTTGTTCCTCGTGTTCATCAAACTCCATTTTTTCCTCCGATCTCTTCTCAGTTTCCTCCACCGAATTCTTCTTAAACAAAAATTACATCAGCAAAACGGGAACAGTATAGTAGCACAGCCTAGCAGGTCACCGTCAATAATTATACATATATACTCAAATTGATTAAGAACAATTAGGGTGAAAAAGGCAATGGTGGGTGATGTAAGGTTGATCAGAAGTGAAAGGATAAGTGAAAGAGGAGGGTGTGGACATCAATTAACCCCTCGCCTGCAAAAATAAAGCAAAAGTATGTGTTTTTTAGTGAGAGAGAGAGAGAGAGAGAGAGAGAGAGAGAGGGGGGTGTCTTGTTTTGAGCAAAAATATTTCAGGTATGTTCCGGTTAATGGAGGAAAGTTGCCACCGGCGATTCCCGGTAATGATCTGCTCCCTAAGGCTAGGGCATCACATTGTCCGACCTTTATTGCTTATTCCACCCTTAAATTACTTGGTATATCACTATATCTTAGTTTTTGTTTTTGGTTTGGTTTTTTTTTTCTTGATCTTGTATTTTTTTTTTTTGTTTTTTTTTTTGTCATTGTTATTGTTGTTATATATTATTACTAGATTTATAAAAAATTAAATACTAATAGCAAAATTTGTTTTTATTAATTTACCATTGCAATTGTTTTGATTTTTTTTATTACGAGCGATTTTTTGTAAATAATTTTATCAATCGCAAGTGTCAGTTATAAACAATAAACGATTAAACGTACGAATTTTTGTAACGTTCGATAAATTATCAATCTATGTCACATTACTAACATTAGCTGAAATAAAATTTTGGTTGATGATACATCATAACACTGCATAAAAATAAGTCATCAAAGAAGAATGAGAACTTTTGTTGTATATGAATTTCCATCTATATTAAATTATTTAGAACCATTAACTTGATATTTATTTACAGCAAGATTTGATGATTGTCATTTTGATGAATCGGTTTTTCTAATATTAGAAGGAGAAATAAAGAAACTGTAAAATAAAATATCTTTCAATGAATTATCACTCTCATTTTTAGATCATCATTCAAGTTAATGTGAATTTGAAAAATATAATTCATTTACACATTGTAGCATATCAGTTTCAATATTTGTGATAAAATCATTAAGTTTCTAATACATATAGCGCATTATTTATACAATCAAAATAAGATGAAAAATGAATACACATTATGCTGGTGCATTATTACACTCATAAAACACATTGAAATGGTTGTTACTAATGCTAAGTAATGATAGAGAGTTATGGGATAAATGGGGAATCTAATGGGGAATCTAATGGTCATTCACAAACTAATATTTCATAACACTCCACATTAAATGACGATTGTATCATGTCTCATTAAAACCTTAATAGGTAAAACCTCATGGGAAAAACTATTTATTAAGGAAAAAGAGTACATGATTAATAATATATATTGGAAACAATTGCCTCGTTAAAAATCTGGCTAAGAAAACCTAGTGGGAAAAACATAGCTAAGGAAAAGAGTACAGTATGTTTCCAACTCCCCCTGATCCGCACATCAATTGATTTCCTTGAAGCACCGCATAGCAATGTTTCATACAATCTTTTTCAAATTTAGATGTAGGAAGTGTTTTAGTGAACAAATCGAGAAAGTTGTTACTTGATTGAATTTTTTGGATGTTGATGTCACACTCCTTTTGAAGATCATGAGTGAGAAAGAACTTAGGTGATATATGCTTGGTTCTTTCTCCTTTGATAAATCCTTCCTTAAATGGAGCTATACAAGTCGTATGATTTTCATATAGTATGGTTGGAACATCCCTGTTAGAAGTTAGACCACAATTCTTGCCAATGTGTTGAGTTAACTTTATTAACTAAATACATTCATGACTTGCCTTATAAATTGCCATAATCTATGCATGGTTAGAATAAGTAGCAACTAAAGTTTGTTTAACATGATTTCAATAAATTTTCTTACCTCCATAAGTGAATAAATAACATGTTTGAGTTCGAGCTTTATGTGGATCAGATAAATATCTAACATCTGCATAACCAATTAACTTCGCATTTGATGAATTTGATTAGTATAAATTCATATCCACTATACCTCGAAGATACGAAGGAATGCGTTTGACTCCATTCCAATGTCTTCTTGTTGGACAAGAACTATATCTTGCTAATAAGTTTACGATAAAGGATATATCAGGTCTTTTATCAGTAGAAAGATATATAAGTGCACCAATAACACTAAGACATGGTTTTTTGGGAATAAGAAGATTTTCATATTTTTTATGATGCTGAAATTGGTCCTTTTTGTCATCTAAGTGTCTTACCACCAACGGATAACTCATGGATGTGAGTTATTCAAATAAAACCTTTTAAATACCTTTTCTAGATAGTAATGTACAAAAACTCCATTTTTGTGTGTTCAATTTGAAGACCCAAACAAAATTTCATTTTACCAAGATCATGGATTTCAAAATTTTCTTTCAAACAAGAAGTGACCTTTTCCAATTATCTAGAAGTTCAAATTATGTTCAAATCATTTACAATAAAATCAATTATGAAAAATTCTAATCTGTATCTTTTTATGAATACAGATGAGCTTATTGGATCATTTTTATAGCCATTTTTCAACAAAAATGTACTTAAACAATTGAATCATATATGACCATAATGTTTCAATCTATACAAAGATTTATTTAATTTTACTGAATATACTTTTCGAGAATTAGAAGTTTATGCTTCTTGCACGTTAAACCCTTCTAGGATTTCTCTAGTTTTGCGTGTGTTGCCAAACTTATTAGATAATAGTATATAATTGCATCAACCAAATGAACATACGTCTCTTCATAATCAATTATGGGCCTTTAGGTAAAATATTGTGCAACGAGTCTTGTTTTATATCTCATAACTTCATTTTTATCGTTTCTTTTTAAACACATATACTCATTTGTGTCCCACTTGTTTTACTCTTTTTGGTGTACATACTACAATTACAAAAACTTTTCGTTAAGTAAGAGAATTGAGCTCTTTATGTATTTCATCTTTCCATTTTGGCCAATCTTTTCTATTTCTATATTCATCTATATATTCGGGTTCATGATCCTTATTTTCTTCCATAATCTCTTTTTTTTTAAAGAGAATTTTCTTCCATAATCTCATACGTAACATGATATGAAAAATTATCATCGACGACTGTCTTATTTCGGTTTCATCTTATTCTTGTCATCACACAATTTATTGAGATCTCTTCATTTTTATAATTTTCAGGTACCTTAGTTTCTTTTGTTGTGTCATTGGGCTCTTGTAGAGCTTCATTAATCTTTTCAAGAGATTTTGTTTTCTCTTTTGGACCATCAATTATATTTCTTCCGTTTCATTTTTGAGGATTTTTATCTTTGGAACCGGTTGGTCTTCAACACTACAGACATGCCTAAGATTCATTTGTAGTAATATTTTTTTCCTTCTTGGATATCAATTCTAATTGGAGCATTTATAACTGGTACATGAGACTTTGTTACTCACTTAGGATCAGTAAATACATCTTGCAATTGATATGCTACAGTTTGTAAATAAATTATATTTTTCAAGATCACGTCGACTTGAAAGAGGATTTAAAAATGAGAGGGATAATTCATTGCAAGATATTTTATTTTCCAACTTCTTTATTTTTCCTTCTAATGTTGGAAAAACCAATTCATCAAATCTAGTTGTAAATAAATCTCTAGTTGATTGTTCTAAATAATTTAATATAGATGGAGATTCATATCCAACATAAATTCTCATTCATCTTTAGCGACGCATTTTTGTATAGTGGGGTAGAGAAACGGGTACATAAACTGCATGCACAAACGTCCTTATATGGGAAATATTTGGTTCCTGACCGCAAACCTATTGAATAGGGGAGAACATATGATAACTATTTGGCCTGATTGAATAAATGATGTTGCGTGTAAAACTGAATGCCTAATATCAATGTAGGAAGTTTAGAATGAATTAGTGATGGTCTTTGAATTAATTAAAGATGTTTGATTAACAACTCATCTAGACCATTTTGTGTATGAACATGTGCAACATGATGTTCAATAGTTATCCCAATCGACATGCAATATTTATTCAAAGCTTGTGATTTAAATTCTCCAATATTGTCAAGTTGAATTTTCTTAATTGGGTAATTAGGAAAATGTGCCCTTAGGTGGATTATTTGTGCATGTAATCTTGCAAAAGCGAGATTACAACTAGAAAACAAGCACACATATGACCATTTAGATGATGCGTCAATTAAAGCTATAAAATATCTAAATGGTCCACATATATCCCTTTGATTTTTTTTTCTAAGAAATTAGGGCTTTCATAACCAACTTTGTTTAATGATGAATGGGAAATTAAGTTTCCTTGAGAGCATGCAACACTAGACAATTCATTAGTTTGAAAAATCTTCTGGTTTTGCAAGGAATGACCACTTGAAGTTTCATTTCTTTTATGCATCATAATTGATACGGGATGGCCCAACCGGTCACGCCAAACTTTGAAGGTGTTATCATACATTTTATTTTCAATAGCATGCGATTCAATCATTCTAATATTTATTAAATATCCGAAGGACAATACGGGCAATTTTTCCAAAAGATTTTTCTTACCCGATATCATTTTTGTTATATTGAGATAATCTTTATGACCATCACTAGTTGTTTCAACATGATATACGTTACTCCGATATCCTTAAAACTTAATAAATTTCTTGATGATTTTAATGAAAATAATGCATTACCAATTGTAATTATTGTCCATTGTGGTAATATTATATTCGCTCTTTCAGATCCTACACTACCCGGTATTGTATTAACATTTAGTTCTCCAATTGATAAGTAAGCAAAACATTTTTCATTATTAAAAATGTTATGTGTTATTGCACTGTCTGCAAGACATATATCTTCCCCATTTCTTTTGTGAATATCCATATTTTTCTTCAATAAATAAATAAAACATAAGATACATTCAACTTATAGAAATAAAATCAT